TTTTGTCTGAAATAATATGAACAGCAGCTATGCTAATCTTTCTCCTTTTGTTTTCCTGTTTCTATCTCGGGATGCCCATCCCAAGGTTACTAGAGGTTACGCCAGTTCCAGTTTGGATCCAGCCGCACTTGTGAAGACTTCAGATGACGCTAACACTCAAGAAGACTTCAGATGACGGCAACTGTACATGAACATACAAAACTATTATCCTTATATTGCCTTTAAGGGTAAGTTTGACAATTTTCAACCCACTTTGTATTATTTCAACGTCTCTAATATCAGTAAATGAACAATATTGACTCTGTCTCTGTTATGTGTATCTATATAGCCCCTTTTATTTGTAAGCAACACTGGATGACGCAAAATGAAATGACGAGTTTTTACAAAATGACAAACACTTTTTGCATCATCAAAATGACAAAATGCTGTGTTTTGCGTCATGCAGCAGTTTTGCTGACAGATAAACCGGGTATCTCAGAGAAAGAATAAACATTGTTCTTTTACATATATTACCAACACTGTAACTATACAAAGTTGATTGAAAATTGTTGAGCTTACCCTTTAATATTGTTGAACGATAGTGTTTAACTGAACACATGACTAGAGACTTTAGTAATATTTTATCAGAAAAGATTTTAGAATTTGTATCATATAATTTTAAACATTTTAACTGCTGTAATTATTGTTTGCTCGGTTTTTATTTTATAATTAATTTTGTTTATGTAACTCTTGTATTATTGTAACTCAGTTTTTGCCATGAAGATAGTGTTAGATTCTGACATGGCAATAAAAATAAATAATTACTATTGAAATCGCATCATATGACCCCTTTAAGTCCAGGAACGAGGGCTCTGAGTTCAGTCTGGCTCGTGAGTGCTGAGTGATCTGGCTGATGTACCAGTGGCAAAGTCTAATCCTATAGACTGTAAGCAATGGTCACCACTAATCGAAGCCAACAGTAGACAAGCAGAAAGACTGGCATGCAACCAAACACTTTAATGTTTTAATGTAAGAGTTAAGGGCCTTTCACACCGGACGCGGAAAGCGCTGCGCTATGAAACCCATTCATTTCAATGGCTTGCGCCGCGCAAGGGCGGGTTGTTGTTTGAAATGATAAGTATTGTGAAAGGTACTTCTAGTTATACAACAGTTAACCATGTTTTTACTATAGTAAAACTAGCAACCATAAGTGTAGTAACCAAGGTTTTTTTTTTTTTTTGGTTCATAGCTTGCGCGTGTGCCGCGGTCAAAGTTCAAAATAGTTCAACTTTTGCTGCTACGCTCTGTGACGTTTACCCGCGCGGCCAATAGAAACGGGGCATCCAAACGAATCTCCATCGCAAGCCTTCGACCTGTTTAATGCACCCACAGCCTCTTCTTCCTTGCCGCTCTCTTTCTTCTTCTTTCTAGCAGGGTTAGTGCTATCGCTCGCTTCTTAGCACGGGACAGATACATATTTTGCTGCTGACCGAAAAGTTGGAACAACAAATTACTAGATTTATAGAACTCCCGCTAAAAGTTTTGAAAACTCCGCCTACTTTGCTCTGGCCAGTTTAGCGCAAATCGCTTTGTATCTGAAGGGCTGCGCTGAACCCAGCGGCCAGCGCAGCGTTTTCCGCGTCCTGTGTGAAAGGCCATTTAGGCTGATGACTAAGGCTGCCCACTCATTCAAATAATAAACAGTTCAAAAATTTTGGAGTGAAACATGCATAAACACCAGATGCAAAAGAACAAGATCAAAATTCATTGTTCATCTAAAAAAACTAATGTCCAAACACAGGGTCCAAGCACATGTGCACATTTTAATATACTGTACAATGCTGGGTAGTAATTATTGTAATCTGGATTACATAATCAGATTCCGGAAATAAAGTACTTGTAATTAGATTATATTACATTTTAAAATACTCATAATCAGATTCAAGTTACTTTATTAATTATTACATGATTACATGTTATTCACACAATAGCAGTAAATTTCTCATAATTTTTATAGCTAATTCTTTAAAGGATTTAAAATCCTTTTTTAAAATACATTCAGAAAGTCATCTAGTAACGTTTTTTTAATTGATTTTAATGTATTTAATTATATATTTTTTATTATTCAATTAATAACTTACAAACTCCCTGCAGTTCCTTCACAAATCCTGGTTTGGAAAACCATACTATTTCTTTCTCTTATAATTTATATATCAATATGGTACAAGATTATCCTATTCAAATCAACGAGATAAACATGTTAGGTCTAAAGTAATCTAAAAGTAATCAAAAAGTAGTCAGATTATATTACTTAAAGGGGTCATATGACGTTGCTAAAAAAGAACATTATTTTGTGTATTTGGTGTAATGAAATGTGTTTATGCGGTTTAAGGTTCAAAACCACATTATTTAGTCTGCATTTGTGATCGGAGAAACGACTCGTGTTTGAATCGTCAGTGGCAAATCCTTTAAATATGAAAACGTACTTACAGGCTGTGAGTTAGC